AGTTCTCAAATCCTTGTGGGTTGAATGGTTTTTATGGCTTTGTAGTCTTTGTTTCTAGCTAGACCTAAAAATCACATTGCCAGCAGACTGTCAGTACACCAGATAAATAAATAAATAAATAATGCAGGAAGGTACAACTTTGCACATGCTTACTCTGTTGTCTTTTTCAAAAACATTCCATCTTCCTCAGTCCCAGGGGGTTATGAGAATAAATTTACATGTGAGTGTTGTTCCAGAAGTAAAAGACAGGGAAAAGACTGGTGCTGTAGATCAAAAGCACAATTAACATGTACCTTGAGATCTGAACAACTGAAGAAGCTGTGAGTTCGGGCTTAAATATCTCTCGGGGGGCAGTTTCAACATCGTAAAATTGCTGTATTTTTACCCCCCCCCCCCCCTTTTTAGCAGAGTTCTATGTTAGGCAATGTTAGAATTCAAATAAGTGACTGGGGAGTGTTCATTTCCTTCTATTCTTCTGCCTGCTTTTTGACTTTCTTCTTCCATATTGATCCATTTTATTCTCTTTTTGATGACCCAAGTTTTTCTCTATTATTACTTTTCAGAATTGAAGTGCTGAAGACCTCAATGAAAATGTTTTACTTTTCACAATATTTTTAATAAGAAACTTATTTTATTGCAATACTAAGATAATTCTAGAACTCCCTCTATTATCTAAATATTCTTGTCTTTGCCTTCTGGAAAACACAAAACCCTTCCTCTTTTAATGGGAAAGCAATGCAAACCTGAACATGACTTGACGCTTTGAGCTGTGTAATTTGAACAAGTCACTGACTGTATGCTTCTTTTGTATCCAGGGATAAATGTGTGTGTGTGTGTGTGTGTGTGTGTGTGTGTGAGAGAGAGAGAGAGAGAGAGAGAGAGAGAGAGAGAGAGAGAGATTGGAATGAGATTAGCAGTTTAACCCTCTTTGAAATTCTGAGATTACAGGAAGGAGAAGATGAGCTAGTGAGAATCCTCTATCCTTCTTCAACCACAGCCACTGTTTTGTGTAAGGGTTCTTTGCATTAGAGTTAATTTGAAAGACAGTTTCTATTTTTTTTTTTTTTTTTAATTTGAGACGGAGTTTCACTCTTGTTACCCAGGCTGGAGTGCAATGGTGCGATCTTGGCTCACCGCAACCTCTGCCTCCTGGGTTCAGGCAATTCTCCTGCCTCAGCCTCCTGAGTAGCTGGGATTACAGGCACGCGCCACCATGCCCAGCTAATTTCTGTATTTTTAGTAGAGACAGGGTTTCACCATGTTGACCAGGATGGTCTCTATCTCTTGACCTCGTGATCCACCCGCCTCGGCCTCCCAAAGTGCTGGGATTACAGGCTTGAGCCACCGCGCCCGGCCTTTTTTTTTTTTTTTTGTAATGTGAAAACTACCTGAATCCGTGAGCCTTAGGTTCCTTCCACCTCTAACATTTTACACTACCTACATGTAATCAGATGGTCTCAGGTTTAAGAATGTTGTCTCAGGCCAGCTGTGGTGGCTCAAGCTTGTAATCTCCCAGCACTTTGGGAGGCCGAGGCGGGTGGATCACAAGGTCAAGAGATCGAGACCATCCTGGTCAACATGGTGAAACCCCGTCTCTACTAAAAATACAAAAATTAGCTGGGCATGGTGGCACGTGCCTGTAATTCCAGCTACCCAGGAGGCTGAGGCAGGAGAATTGCCTGAACCCAGGAGGCGGAGGTTGTGGTGAGCCAAGTTGGCACCATTGCACTCCAGCCTGGGTAACAAGAGCAAAACTCCGTCTCAAAAAAAAAAAAAAAAAAAAAAAAAAAAGAATGTTGTCTCTTTCAGATGTCTTTGTGTTTGAGTTAGAACCGCACCATACTGCGGGTTTTCAGGCAAGTTATTCTCTCAAGGCCTTAGCTCTCCTCTTCTCTAAAATGGACACAAGAGTTGTACCAACCTCAAATGATGGTGGTGACAATCAAATGAGACAACTCACAGTGTCCAGCAAATTATAAATGCTCAATAGGTGTTAGTCAATACTATTAGTCTAAAGAAATGCTTGAATTACACGTGGTAGTTTCACCTTCGTTTATTAATTTGATTTATGATTATTTCAAATAAGACTTCTCCTAGGACAAACTTCAGGTCACTAAAATAGAGTATCTTATGCTTTGCTGCTGTTTTAACTTGACATTGCAGGGAAAATTTATTTATATAATTTTAGAGTATTAAGAGTAAAGAGATATGCAAAACATACTGCATTGTATCATGTAGATTTCGGTCCAAAAACTTTTAGTTAAAAGTTAAAATGACAAAAGTTGAGATGAAATAAATTGTTTCTGTGGATGATGCTGTGCTATCAGCTTTTTCATAAATTTTAAGCTTATATTTGCAAAATTTCATTTTTTATTTAGGTCTTTGGGTCTTAGTTTCTTGATCTGTGAAGTCAAGGAACTAGACCAATAACTTTGCAGATTCAATGTTTATTATTCAAAGTTTATTACAAGTAATATGGTACTCTAATCAATTTGTCTCATTTCTCCAGGCCTGTTTCCTCAGCTGCAAACTGAGGAGAAAATGTTCTTACCTATCAGCTGCTTTTAATTATAACATTGGAGTTTTAACTCTTCTATTTCTGCTCTTCCTCAACTAAGTTAGTATATGGTTATCTAATCATCTAAACTATAACATATCACACATTCATTTCTAATGTTTCCAGGTGCACAATTAAAAGCTTGTCAACATATACTAGGTAACTGCTGGGTGCTTCAGGCATAGTAATGAAAAGCCACATTTCTTGACTTCAGGAACTTGGACATCAGACATAGAATGATTATGACAATAAGGATGAGGGTGAGGATGATGATAATGACAGAGATAATAAATGTAAAGATAATTGTTTTAATAAGAATAAATACAATATTCACTGGAGACAAAAGATCTACAGAATCTAAATCAGTTCCCAACAACCTCATAAAAAAAATGTTGACTTCCACAAAGATGATCACACTTTTCTTTTTGTAATAGTCTTTTTCCCAAGGTTACATGACACAGCTTTATTTTGTTTTTGTTTTTTCATTCTTCTCTCTTCTATCTCCTTTCACATTACACTGTCCTCTACTTGACCACTAAGTGTCAAATTTTTAAAAGTCACATTCTTAGGTTCCCTTTTCTTCTCTCTTCTCTTTCCCTAGAAAGTCTGACCCATGTAGATGGCTAGAATTATTACCGATAAACAAATAACACGTTTTTATCTCTAGCCAAGATTCCTTTTCTGAATTCCAGACCTATTCAATTGCTAGAATTATTACCGATAAACAAATAACACGTTTTTATCTCTAGCCAAGATTCCTTTTCTGAATTCCAGACCTATTCAATTGCTAACACAACATCTCTTCTTGGAGGTCTCAACATCACCTCAAACTCAAATTCCCAGTTCAACTTCATAAGCTTTCCTCCACTGTGACTTTCTTTCAGTACTCTTTGTTTCAGTTAATGACTTTGCATAAGACCCACAGACCTATGTCCGATTCCTGGCTGTGTTATCTGCTGCCAGACCTTAGTCAAGTTACTTTATTTCCCACGGTCTCTGTTTCCTCATCTGTACCCATCACTCAACTGTACCCTAGTTAAAAGGCTCAGTTCTTTTTAACTAGGCAGCTGAACCTGAAAGAATTTTCATTTACCTTCCACATATTCCATGACTATCCACAAGCCTGTGCCAGTGATATGGCTCTTCCTACATGTGAGCCAGGAAGCCTCTCTCTGTGGCACAGTGACAAACTGCTATTCCCATCGTTCCTCCCTGCAAGTCTTTGTGCTTTGGGTCACAAAACAGGAGGGTATGAATCTGTGTGAACTGGGAAAACAGTTCCAAGGGCACACCCAGTACGAGCGAGTCTCCACGACAGAGGCCGTGGGTGGGCTGGCCCTGGGCAGTGAGGCTCAGAGGTTACTGGCCGTCATCTGTCAGAGACTGACCTTGAAAACAGAAAAAAGCCCTCAGTCCCTAACAAGACAGCCCTGCCTACATGCCAGCTGGATCCAGCTAACCAACACCGTACTCTCTGAGCTCCTTTTCTTTTTGCTTTTCTTTTCTTTTTTAAATCTGCTGAGTCCATTCCTTGAGAATCACAGAGAAAAGGATTCCTTCTTCACTCCATTCAAGAAAAACATTCCCCTTCTCAGAATAAAAAGAGTAAGTCTCTTGTCCACCTCCTATGCAGCAGACCACTTTGCTGGGAGGAGCGTAGGTGTCTGGGTTTGAACCTTTCCTGGAGGTATGAACTACACGTGAGCCACGTCCATGGCGATGTCTCGGTGTCTGCAAAAGGCGAGCATGATTTCTCCAAGGCTCCAGGCGTCCCCAAACTACGGCCCGCGGGCCGCATGCGGCCCCCTGAGGCCATTTATCCGGCCCCCCGCCGCACTTCAGGAAGGGGCACCTCTTTCATTGGTGGTCAGTGAGAGGAGAACAGTATGTGGCGGCCCTCCAACGGTCTGAGGGACGGTGAACTGGCCCCCTGTGTAAAAAGTTTGGGGATGCCTGCTCCAAGCCTTCTCTTTTCTCTTCCTCACGTTCAAACTTGTGAAACCAATCGGGGCTGTGAGTTTCAGGGTGTAGCATATGCATGTAAACAGCAGAATTGTGTATGCACTTACTGTGCGTTCAGGACTCTGCTGTGCTTGAACTTGGAGTGTTTGTGTGTTTGGAGGAGGGTTATGAGAGTGTGTAGAGGGAAAAGATTTGTATGTTTAAGTGCAGCCAAGTGGTAGTGTGTGTGATGTGTGTGTAGACGAGGAATTACGTGGACGCTCCATGTGCGTTCAGGAGTATGTATGTTCGAGGAGCTACGAAAGCGCATGTATGGAAAGGATTTATACGTGTAAGTGCAGAAAGTGGCAGTGTGTACGTGGTGTGTGTGTGCGCGCGAGTGTGTGAGCGCCAGGGGCCGCCCGCCCGCCGCGGCTCCCCGTGGGCCGGCCGGGCCAATGAGCGCGCGGCTGCAGGGACGGCGGGCGGGGAGGGGGCGCCGAGCCCTGCGGATGGAGGCGCGGGCGGCGCGGCGCGCTCATTCCGCGCGGGCGTTGCTGGCGGGGGGCGGCGCAGCCGCTGGACCCGGACCGGGGCCGCGACCCGGGGCGGCGGGCGGCGTGGGCGGCGCCCCAGGCTGGGATGCGCTGGGGGCTCCGTGGCGGCGGCGGCGTTGGCGGTGGCGTCGGCGGCTGCAGGGGGACGAGCTAGCGCCGCGGCGCGGGGAGCCAGTTGAGCCCGGCCGGCGAGCGGAGGCGGCGGCGCAGGCAGAGCGGCGGCGGCAGCGGGAGCCCGAGCGCTGCGCGCCCACCATGGCCGCCCAGGGAGAGCCCGGCTACCTGGCGGCGCAGTCGGACCCCGGCTCCAACAGCGAGCGCAGCACAGACTCCCCGATGCCCGGCTCAGAGGACGACCTGGTCGCCGGGGCTACCCTGCACAGCCCGGAGTGGAGCGAGGAGCGCTTCCGCGTGGACAGGAAGAAACTTGAGGCCATGTTACAAGGTAGGCATCCCCGGTGTTCTCGGACTCCCCGACGGAGCCTCCAACTCCTCCTCGGACATCCCCAGCGCGCGCGCCGGCGCCCGCTACTCCAGCCCACGGCGGCTTTAGCTCCAGGCCCGCTCCCCGGCGGAGCCCGAGGACACCCAGGGAATGGAAACTTCGCGGGACTCCCCACCCTTCCACGCCTCTCAGGTTTCCAGGCGCTGGGGGCCCTGTGCGAACTTGACCGGCTTCAGAAAAGCCGAAAGCCGAGTTTGTACTGGCGCGCCCAAGTTGCTTTCTGGACTTTGGAGATGCCAACTTCAGCCCGGACACCTGGGCTGTGCTATCTGCATCACTCAGGGGGCACAGAGTATGCGTGACTCTCCCCATGCCCTGGCAGTCTCGAGTTCTGTCTCTCCGTCTGCTTCACTTTCTCCCCTAGTCAGTATCTACTTCCTCCAGCTGAGGGGCCTTGTCTTGCTATTGGGAAACGCTCTGCAGATGTCAGGGCTTAAGACAGGAGCTCCCGCCCCCACCCCTGTGGTCAAGTAGGGCCAGGATGGGGGTGAGCAGCCAAAGCGAGGGGAGAGTGTGGGGGCAGTGCTGCTGTGTTTGAGGACAGTGTTCATCTCTTGACAGGCTTATAAAACACATCTTGAGTTACATTCAGTCCATAAAAATCTTCCTGTGTTGTGGGTGTCTGACTTTGTCTTTCACAACTTAGAATTATTTTTAACTCTTTAATTTCTTTGGGACTTTCCCAGGCAGAAAATCTTGAACCACACTGGACCGAAAACAGATTCTGATTTATAATACGAGTATTGGAGTGAACGTGAAAACGTCCAAGGTCATTTTGACCTTTCTTAAAACCGTTAATTACTAGCCTACCTGTATGTGGCTCATTTCCCACATCCTAAGAGAGAAATGAGTCAGTTGGAACGACTGTTATTCTTAAAATACGTGTAGAAGACCAGGCATTAGTCTCACTTTGGCTGCTAGTGAAGATTCATTCAGTAGCTAGTGTTCTTTTATCGCGGGAGGGATTGGAGCTTTTCAAACTTTCTTTGTGGCTTTATGCATAACTTACTTTGACTTTATCAGTCAATGCATCGCAGTATGGGAGCGATTTAGCCGGCTGTGGAAATGCAGTGGCTTTTTAGAACAATTAAGTAGGTTATTTTAAGAGAGAACAACATGTTTTCCAAAACAATAACTTGTGGAAACAAATAGCAAGAGTGTTTGGCAGGCGGTTTTTGGATGTGCTACAGGCTTTCCTCACTTGTTGCTTATTTTTATTGATAAACATCCCTAATGTGTGTCACGTCTCTGTCTATCTCTCCCCTTCCCTCTTCTTTCTCAAATTATGTAACTTTTGAGAAGAGTTACTTCTGTGATAAACTATTCAAGTAAGACTGTTTATTACATAGATTTGGAAATTAAAGCCACCGTTGCATTTCAGTAACTCATTTTAGTTATTTCATCTGTTTTGTGGTTCTGTTTGCCTAGTTTATGATGATAAAACAAAATATTAGATTTATGTCAGGCATATATTGTGAGATCGTTTGGAAGGAAGTGATAGTAGCACATACTCATCCTTTTCAACCTGCTTCCAGTTTGCTAATGGAGTCTGGAGTGATGTGAAAGAATGATCTGTTTCACCTGCGCACAAACAAGTAAGGACAGTGATGTTAGCTTCTGGGAAGTTCAAGCGTATAACCTGAGCTTTAGAAGTAGATTTCCTTTTTCGAATTAATTCATTTTCACTTTGAATAAAATGAAGTTTTGATGAGGCTTTTTGAAAATTTGAAGACTTTTGTATTAATAGATGTGATACTACGACCTGAGATGGTTTGAAATTGCTTTGCAGTGATAAAGTTTCTTTTACAGAAAGTTTTAACTCTTAACATCTCTTGAAAAACCAATATACAGTCATGCATTGCTTAACGACTACGACTGGGCTATGTTCTTAGAAATGTATCCTTAGGCATTTTCATTGTGCAAGCATCATAGAATGTAATTACACAAATGTAGATTGTGTAGCTTGCTACACCTACTACCTAGGCTATAGTCTGTTGCTCCTAGGCTACAAATAATGTTACTAGACTACCAGGCTTGTTACTGTACCTAATACTGTAAGCAGTTGTAGCACAATGGTATTTGTATATCCAAATATATCTAAACATTGAAAAGGTAATGTGTTAATTTACTATGACTATGGCATTACTAGGCGATAGGAATTTTTCAGCTTCATAATCTTATGGGACCATTGTAGTATATGTGGTTAGTTCTTAACCAAAATGCAAGCGTGAGCACTGGGATCACTAATACCTGGGTTCAAAACCCTGTAGGATCTCAGGAAGGTTGCTGGGCCTCTCTCTACCTTCAGTTTGCCCATCTGTAAAATGGAGCTGATACTAGGACCTTTTCTCTTAGGTTTTGGGAGAATCGAAAGAGATAATGCCTAACAAACTAACATTTGCCCACAGTGTTTGGTCGATAAGAACTTAATGAATATCTGCTGTTATTAATAATAAATATTACATCATGGATTAAAAGGATTTCCAGTGCCTGCCACAATGTATGAAATATAGCATATACTCAATATATAGTTGGGGAATAAAGTAGTTTTGCAAGTTCATAATTGCAGAAGTAAAGTAGAAACTAAAGAAGTAAGTCTGTCAAGTCAGTAAGCATTCTAATATTATTAAATATTCTTGGGTGGAAAACTTTTTATTTGAAATGTGCCGAGGAAGTAAAGTCTGTATTTGAGTTTTTGATGATTGTGAATTTGGGCTGCTATTTTTTTCTACTTACAATTGACTTAAAATAGCTACAGGTTTCCAATTTAAATGAGGATAAGTAAGATTTTCTGCCTTTAAGTATTCTAAGTGCAAATTGGTGATTATAATGCTTGGAATTTGTTACCAGAGAGACTGTCCTGGGGGCAAGTTAATCTTTAATGAGTTGTATTTTTATTAGTAGAGAAATTCTTCTACGCAATGGACCAAAAATTCAGTGAGGTTAAAATATGGGCAATAAGGGTAGTAGTCAAATAAATGAAATACCATTCTGAGATAATCATTGAAACTTCAAAGAATTGTTACAGATAAAAACCACTAGGCCAAAAATGTAGGGAAATATCATTATTTTTTCTTTTCTTTTCTTTTCTTTTTTTTTAACTGGTGGGTTGGAGTCTAGTAACTACTTCAAAACAACCATGCAGAGTATCTGATGTTTTTGCTGTAAATGACAATTATCAGTTTTATTAGTTTACAGTTTTATAAATGGAAATTTATTTTCAAGTTTAGGTTTTTGATGGGTGAGGTCAGCCTTGGAATGAATACCATAGACAGTATTTTTAATGATAAAGATGATAAAAATAAATTTAAATATATTTAATACTGATCTTCAAATGTAAATTTCATGTTTCATGTGAACTAATAATGTTGATTTATTGAAGTCAATCAAATTTGAGTTAACTCAAAGTTATGAGTTATATATCATAACTCACATTGGCTCAATGTGAGTTATCAGGGAAGAAAGGGAGGAGAGTGTCATAGCAGAAAGTCTGGGACAAAGTAGGAAATAATTGAGTCAAGAGAATCGGAGATACAGTCTTGGTGTTTGCTGGAGTACTGAGGCAAACACAGGATTCCTATATTAATGCATTTCTTTTTAAAAGTATTTTTCTTTGTAAAAACATATATGTGGGCTATAAAATTAAAAATTCCCATATATAACACAGCACCTCAAAGTATTATTTTAAAAAAAACTTCCCATATAAAATTCAGAATCACAGGCATTTTCAAAGTTGGGAATCTCTTCTTTCAGTAGAGAAAGTAGTGAGTGTTAAAAAGTGGGACCTATAATGGGGAAGAATGGCCTATTTTCATGAAAGGAGATTGACATCTGGTGGGGTTTTATCATATTGCTGCTAAAGACTTTGAGAACCATGTTGCATTTTTACAATGATAGGCAGAACTGGGATCATTTGCTACTGCTTGGTTGAGTAGCAGAGTTGGCCACTAAAACAGAGGTTGTCATACATCATTGATTAAAAGTGGGAGCAGCAACTATGTTATCTCTTTAATTCTGCAAACTTTAGTGGATTTTTAAAATGGTTTGATGAACAGATAATAATTTAGATTTCTTTCATGGGAGTGGAAAGAAATACGAAGCCGAAAATGTATGAAAATGGGGGAGTAGGCCGGGCGCTGTGGCTCATGCCTGTAATCCTAGCACTTTGGGAGACCGAGGCGGGTGGATCACCTGAGGTCAGGAGTTCAAGACCAACCTGGCCATCATGGTGAAACCACACCTTTAAAAAAAAAGAAAGAGCCGGGCGCGGTGGCTCAAGCCTGTAATCCCAGCACTTTGGGAGGCCGAGGCGGGCGGATCACGAGGTCGAGAGATCGAGACCAACCTGGTCAACATGGTGAAACCCTGTCTCTACTAAAGATACAAAAAATCAGCTGGGCATGGTGGTGTGTGCCTGTAATCCCAGTTACTCAGGAGGCTGAGGCAGGAGAATTGCTTGAACCCGGGAGGCGGAGGTTGCGGTGAGCCGAGATCGCGCCATTGCACTCCAGCCTGGGTAACAAGAGCGAAACTCTGTCTCAAAAAACTAAAAAAAAAAAAAAAAAAAAAAAAAAGAAAATGGGGGAGTACCAAAAGCGAAGATAAAGAGTAAAGCTTAAATGAACAGAGTTTTCTAGCTAATGCTCGATCAAGGCTAATAAACAGCAAAAACAAATCAAATAACTTTATGATCTTAGTGATTAAGAGCACAGGGCTCTGGGCCAAATCTGGATTTGAATCTTTGTGTTACCTTTTTATAGGGAGCTTGGGAGAATTCATCACTTGTGACCCAATTTCTCAAATGGGGGAATTAATAACAGTTCTTAACTCCTCAGGTAGTTTTGACAATGAAGAGGAAAAAGGTGGGGTAAGCTATTCCAGTGCTGGCAACAGAGAAAGTGCCGAATAAGCTAATAACAACAATATTCACTGTAAATAAT